AGCCCTAAGCACTGATATTCAGGTGTATGGATGTATCTTTGGTTTAATCTATTCTAAATGTTTGTTTCTTGGTATCAAAATGATCTGCTATCTATTTCTCAAACAATGATGTACAGTATGTGATTGTGAAACGCATCATACGATTTGTACTATACTTTGGGTTAAAGCGGCAGCAATTCCAGACCGGCCATAAAACATGCAAATGGGCCATAAAGGGAAACAAAGGAAACTTCTCCCGCTCAAAAATTCACGCCTGGTATTGGCTAGCCCACCCCAAGTCGGGGATTAATAGGAACCCTCAAAAGTGATTAGCCCAAAATGATCTTTGCTCAGAAACCCTCTTCGTTTGAGATGACACTTTTCCAAGACTCTCAAGATTTTTCCTCTTGAGTTTTTATTTTCCGGCAGTTTTTATCTTCAAGTAACTTCGATTCGCTGTGGACTTTTCCTATCTTCAGAAGAACTAGAAGTAAACTTCCAGCTCACTCCTAACGAACTCATCAAAGACCTCCGTTGTCTACTGCATCAGGACTCTTGTTCAGCAATCGAAACCAATGCAAGTAACCGTTTACAATTATTTAGATGCGTGTTTAAGTTTCAGGCCCTTTTAAGGTGATTTTTGATTCTCTGATGATTCTCGAAGGTTGTGTTTAAAATTGATGTGAAATAATGCCATCTTTTACTTTCCTCTCTCTTTTCCTTACTTTGTTTCATTCTGTATATATATATGTGTTTTGCTTAGTTATATGTTAGATATAGTTTCATTTATTAAATCCCTTATATTCACAACTGATTGTCTCTGTTTGCTGCTCACAATTCGAAGTCAATGAATGTTTTGAACCCTTGCTACAATATGCTAAATTACTGCTAGCACTGCATAAAGAAGGACAGTTTATTCTTCCTTGGCCAGGAAAATAATCGTTCCTTGAATTGATAAATGATTATATTGTCTGCTCGGTGGACGGACAGATCAAATAATTGTAATATTGATTCTGCTACAGTTAATTCGAAGATATAATCTAAATATTTATTATTAATCATAACCAGTTATAATTAGTCATAAATATTTCCCTTGTTGAGCTGAAAAACCCTACATACTCTTTTGGGTATATATATATATATATCCATTTTGAGCTTTACCCAACTCTTTGTGATTCATAAGGACATCATGAATTTATCACAAAACAAAGAAGGTTCCCCTCATTACTGTTCACACAGATGTCTTGAAAATTATTTGGGACAAATGTATCTTCATTTTTAAAGATCACTGTCAGGAAAGTGACCTAGTTCTGAAACATGATTGGAATTAGGGTAACCAGCTTGAATTTATTTCATTCAATGAGGTTTAAACAATTTGGGTTTTTATCCCCAAATCTAGCCATTGCTGTCCATTTCTTCAAGAATGGAGGAATTGATTCTGATCAGCTTTGTCTGTCAAGTTAAATATTTGAAGGCATTGATTTGGTTCAGAATTTTTGTGTACTTTTGCATACCAAAAACTCAAAAACATTAATTTAGTTGTATTGTTGTATAATCAACATCATTACATTTCATGTAATTTGAAAGACGTGGCAGTCTTGGTAAATTTATCTTTAGTGTTCGTCATAAAATTGCACAAGACTGTTCTGAAGAGGTGAGTTTTACTAATGTCCCCTTATTACCTGCACTGACAATGTACAGAGCCAGACTGTCCTATTTCTGTAGCGGCAGTCTGTTATAACTATCTATAGAGAAGACTTAGTTATGTATTCAATACCATTAGTAAAGTAATCTGGTTCTGGCATTTAGGTTGCAGAAAACAAGCACATTTCTCTCAGATTGGAAGTGGCATGTCTCATTTATGGCATCACTTTGAAAGTCCTTATTTAATTTCTTTTTTCTTAAAGGTTAATGACTTACAGTAAATGCTGCATGTTTCACCTTATAGCTGAAAAAGAGATTCATTAATATTCTTCTTTATATTTAATATCTGCAAATGGAATTTTGCAGATGTCATTCAACTAATTTTCATTTATTTTGACACTTTTTTCCTTTTATCTTCTCTCTGTCTATCTCTGTCTTTAAGATCCTTCTAATATCAAGAACTATCCAAGTGTTAATTTCCTGTCTCGCAACTCCAAATTGACCGTATCTCTTTTAGAACAAATTATTATTATTTAACTAGTGAAAATGTGAAAATGAACAAACTAACACAGAGATTCCAATTACTTCTCTTTCCCCTTGGTGCCATACTGAAGATATGATTGCTTTTTCTCTTCTGACTTACCTTCTTTAATCTAAACACTATAACTGACTAATACCATGTTTGCTTGTGTAACTCCACAGGTTGCATTTCCTGGTCTTCCACACAGAAGAGGTGCATGATGTTTTGCGGATCTGGGACGGGCCTCAGGATGGAGGTGTTCTCCTGCGAGAGCTGAGCGGCTCTACACTTCCTCCAGACCTCCACAGCACCTTCAACTCCATCAGTCTGCAGTTTACAACCGACTTCTTCACCAGCAAGCAGGGTTTCGCTCTGCAGTTATCGAGTATGTGTTTAGCCGAGATGTGTTGTTGTTAAAGATGTGTATGTGTTTTTATAAGTGTGGGTGTCACTTTTAACTAGTTGCTTATTACTAGCACATTGAATGTTTATTAGTACTTATAAAGCATGTTTAATGCTGATCATATTTTAGATCCCTTAATCCTACCTAGGGATGGGTACCGAAACCCGGTATTTAATCGGTCCCGGGGCTAAATTATGAAAGACCGGAGTATAAGTTAAGAGTTTATTGAGTCAAAAGTCGTAGTTAATACTTAATAGTTAATAGTGAGAACTGGCCCCCAAACTAAGGTGTTACTTAAATTTAATACATTTCTTGAAGTTTTGAGCATGCAGACAAAATTTCAAGTATGTGAGCAATTGGTCGGACAGTTTTGTGAGTCAGCTGTAGCCAATCATCTGAGCGAATTATTCCGTAACATGACTTGAGGCAAGTCACATGATATTTTTGGTTCATATGTAGAAATTTATTCAGTAAATGTGCTTCCGTGTTTTACCGAATACAACAAAAATGTACCCCCGCAAGCGAGCATGTAAGTTAATGTTGTTTTGGGGAAATTTCATTTGCATCTTGCTGTTTCCATTCAGCATCATCCTGAAACTCAAACAATTTCTGATGAAAAAAAAACTTGCTGGTGGGAGACAGTGCTTGAGCTCCAGAATAACAACTGAAAAGCACCATCTTTGAGCTTCTCCTAAAGCCTCCAACAGCACCCACCATGCACACGGCCTTACAGATCCAACTTCTCCACTGACAATAAATGAAACCCGTTAAGCCAAGGTTTATGTGCTTCTGTCTGCTGTCAGCCTGTAACCAGGGTAACCATCCCCGCCCACCTCCATCAGCCAACACTCCAACCACAGTGTCCTGATTTCTTGCGTGATACCTTGGAGACTCAAAAAAGACATTAAAGATTTGACATAAAAAGTCAAAATAAATAATATGCCATTACGCATCAATGCCATGCTATTTTTGTTTCAAAGCCGCACATTTTACTTTTAAAAAAGCCCATCTGGGTTAAAGCATCTTTGAGAGAGTTGATGCAGGTGTTTATATAAATAAATGAACGTGTTGAAGTGGACTAGAGCTGTCATTTGGGCTCTACAGATTCAGTGGCTGTAATTGTGCAGGTAGTTTGCCGGCTTAAAGACGTTTTTGTGAATATTCGTAATGGCTGGTAGGTCAGTACCACAAACCAGCAGATGGCTTAGATTAGTTACGCAAAGACACCAAACTTTCTGTTTATTAGTCTAAGAACAGTGGTTCTCAACCAGGGGTCTGGTGCCTCAGAAAACTTCCAAGGGGGCCTCTAGATGAATTTAAATGATTTCAATAAGAAAACAAGCATTAAAATAAGGTAAAGCATCAAAATCTAAATGTAAACTGACGTTATAGTTCTTATTTAATTATTTCCCTCAACCACTATCATTTTTATTTAAGAGCTAGGTTTCTCGCAGTCTTGGAAAGCTTGAATATATGAGGGACTTTTAAAAGTGTTATTTCTAGACCTGGAGTCAAATTAAAGTTAAAGTCCAAGTCAAATTAAAATCCTAAAACATCAAAAAGCATTTTTTTTATAATCAATGGTTATGTCAAGCTTTAAATTTGGATTGGGTAGAAATTGCCATTGTGAGTTAAAAAATAATTAAAAGAAAAAACAGCAACCCTGTAATTGCAAATGACTAGAAAAGTCAAATAAATAAATTGGTATGAAAGTGTAAACCCTGAAGGGCATTCACTTATTGAAACTTTTGGATTTATTTATTTATTGACTTATTTTAATATTTTGCCACTCCTACTTTCTGTAAATAAAATTTCAAATTGAGCAGCCTTGTCCTTTCAGCAGAAGTACCAGAAAGAAATTGGGTGGCCTTTCGATATTGTCCTTGACAATGGGAGGCCTTCGAGTCGAAAAAGTTGAGAAAAGATGTTAAAGGGGTCATATGATGCGATTTCAATTTTTCCTTTCTCTTTGGAGTGTTACAAGCTCTTGGTGCATAAAGAAGATCTGTAAAGTTGCAAACACTAAAGTCTCAAAACCAAAGAGATATTCTGGATCCATTGATTATGTTACAGTTGCTGACTGGATATTTTTCTTTCTGCAGTTTCAACTGCCACTTCCTGTAATGATCCTGGCATTCCAACAAATGGCACCCGCATAGGAGACAGCAGAGAGCCAGGGGATTATGTGCTGTTCCAGTGCGATCCCGGATACCTCCTACAGGGGGCGACCAAAATCACCTGTACCGAGATCAACAACCGTTTCTTCTGGCAGCCTGATCCGCCCACCTGTTCTGGTAAGAGCGTGCCAAATTAAGAAATGTAAACGCTTCCTTCCTCAACCAACACTTTCACAGTCATCCCTCCATCTTTTCGCTTTATTTTTAACATAAGAGTAAGCATTTTTATCTTGAATGTGCATGGAGTCTGATTTCAGATGCTTCCAGTTATTTCAGTTGTACAAAATCAGTTTATTATGCTGCTTCATGTTACAAACTGGTATATGTTATCATATTATTTTAATTAATGTATTTTTTTTATTTTAAATAATTATTGTAATTAGGGATGCACCGATACCACTTTTTCCAGTACTCGCCCGATACCGATACTTTTATTTTTGGTACTTGCCGATACAGAGGCCCGATACCGATACCAGTATCGGTATCTGTGCATCCCTAATTGTAATCATAAATAATTTTGTTGCACCAATAGTTTCACCATTTACTGCACTCTTGTTTCTCTAGTAATTTACTCATGGCCAAATTAATCACTAGACTTGCACCTTAACAGGAAATAGCTTACTTCCTGAAAAATAAGGTGGATGCTCTATCCCATTAGTTTCTCATAAAGAAAGATACAAAATGAATCCATATCCCATAAGCAAAATTTCAATTGTAATGAATATCGACAAAGTTGTGATTTGGCTAATGGCTAATAATGCTAATACTAATACACTGTGTTTTGACATCAAACCGCAGAAACCCCTGAAATCTCATGTAGCATGCTTTATATAATGAGCTAGGTATCAGCATTTTGTATGTAAACACACTCAGTGATTGTATGAAAAGTTTCACACTAAGAAGCCATTTATGTAACTACATTCAAATGCACTCAAGGTTGCCGTTCAAGTCATATTGAAATCATTTTCTGTTTCTTTTGTTCAAGGCCTAGTTCACGGATTTAGTTTGCACCCAATTTAAATGTAACCCATGCAAAATACATTTTAAAATCATACACAGGAAGTATAAGAACATAAGTGCATTGACCACATTATTGACGACATGAGGGGGATAATTTATTGTGAGATTATGAATCGGGTGCTCATGTACAGCAAAGCTGTCATTATTATTATTATTATTAATATTTCTGCTGGCCTTGGCCAGCTGTTTACCATCTATTCTCTCGCAGCAGCTACATTATAAAGATTTCATCACACTACTTCCCAGAAAAGAATTTTTGTGGACATTAGGGGCAGCAGTATTTGGTTTTCTTTTGTGAATTAAAGCCACTTTATGTTAATAGCCAGTCTAACTATAGTATAATTAGGTTGCCTTGTTCAATTAAACTCAATATGAGTTTGTGTTAATGTTTACCTGAACCACAGGCAAAACCCTGGAGATGCTTGCCTATTCCAGGTAAAAACCTGCTACTGCTGAGTTGAGCACATGACTTCATTAACTTAATCTTCGGGACTAGATAATTAGAGTTGCTAATAGTTAAAACAGGAGGTGTTTATCTCAATAAAGCAAAATTACAATTGTGTTCTAGAAAGGCAGGTTTTTGTTTTTTTTTTGACTCCAAGTCCCCTATTTGTAAACAATAATATTTGAAAGTCCCATGACTTTACCAGTCATAATTTACTTTTTTTACTCAATTTCTGCCTAATAAAATTTATATTTTTGACTTTTTAATATTGTATTGATCTATAAGCTTGCTTTTTTTCAGGTTTAGGTCATTTTAGAGCTTGTTTTGTCTTATTTTATAATTTTAAGTCATCTCAAAGCCTTACAAAGCCAAAGTTTTCTGAGGCCCCCTAGTGTGCCTCGGCCCCCTTGTTGAGAACCACTGTTCACTGTTCTAAAGTTTTAACATTAATAGCCCACATTTTGAAACTGCTAGTATGTTCGGTACTTCAATTTCCATGGTTTCTTTTTCCTTCCTTTTTTTATTGCAGCTCCATGTGGAGGGAATCTGACTGGTCCCAGTGGACTGATCCTGTCCCCTGAATACCCAGAGCCCTATCCTCATGGCAGAGAATGTGACTGGACAGTAACCGTAATGCCGGACCACATCATATCACTCACTTTTAATCAGTAAGATTGTTTTTAAGACTAAAGTCTCCCATTTTTTTGTAGTTACCTTACCATATTGTAGTATACAGTGTTATACAAGTTTTCCATCTAGTATTTATCATTTTAGATTTCAATGAAAATTATTTTCAGTAGTATTAGTTTTAGTTAACAATAACAATGCTTGTTATTTATAGTCATATCATACATGTTTACTTCCTCCAACTAGCTTTAGTCTAGAACCGAGCTACGACTTCCTGCACATCTACGACGGGCCTGATTCTCTTAGCCCTCTGCTGGGCAGCTTTTACGGCACGGACGTCCCTGAGCGCATTGAGAGCAGCTCCAACACGCTCTTCCTGGCCTTCCGCAGTGACGCCTCACTCAGCAGCAATGGATTTGTCCTGCAATACACTGGTATGTTACACTGGTATATCTTGTGGTGGGAGGAATACATTACATCCTTTCCCATTTTGTAGGCACCTTTTATTGCCTGTATTGCATGAGAATTTGGTCAAATACTAGTATCAGAATGACCTTAATTTTCCATTTGTCTTTGTTCTTTGCCTTTTGTTCTTTTGTTTCTATAGTGTGCCTTACTGCAACAGCACTTTGACTGTTGCCTTGATCACTCCCTCCTGCTCGTACCGCTTTCGTGTAGTGTATAATTATCGACCTGTGGCACTTCTCGCAGTCGTCTAGAGAAGAATTATGAAAATGAAAAGCCAGAATGCACTCACTAAAGCTGGCATTTGATCAATGTTTTGCTGTCACACTAAAGGCTGAGCATAAATGAGAACAAATGCGAGTTTGCTGTCTCCGTACGCGCCCTGCTGACCTCACTTTGTCTGATGACACTTTGGCTTATTTGTTTATTCATGAAATGACAGACTTGTCAGTAGGGCTGCACGATAAATCGCATGCGTTTATCATGCGCATCTAGTCAGTAAAGCCGGTTCTGTGATTAGTAGTAAATTTCCATCACGTGCTTTCAGATGGAGCGGCATTTACTACACAGAGCCATAGTTCACTGACAAGCTATGCAATATCACGTTCATAATCGAAGGTGATTCATCGCTGATAATGAACGCTATATTGCGTAGCTTGTCAGTGAACTACGGCTCTGTGTAGTAAATGCCACTCCATCTGAAAGCATGTGATGGGGATTTACTACTAATCACAGAACCGGCTTTACTGACTCGATGCGCATGATAAACACATGCAATTTATCGTGCAGCCCTACTTGTCAGTTCAGACACACCAGGATCCAAAATCAGTACTCACCAAGAGTCAGAGACAGGTTAAAAATTGGCTTGAGCGAGCAAATAAAACAGAGATACCGACAAATATGGTGAAATTAAAGATCTGTGCACACTGAGTCCGAAATTCTTGTCCGAAATTTTGCACGTTAAAAAAATAAATACAACCTCACGTTGTGTCTATCACATTTACACACTGCCTTCGAAACTTTTGTCCATCATAAAAAAATCAGATCAGGTTTGATTTTCTGCTTTTTCTCATCCGTAGCAAGCATTTTGATAGGAAAGGATGATGAATCCGGAAAAAAATAAAAAACGCATTAGAAAATTTCATACTCAATGTGCAATGACCTTACAGCCCCATTCACACCAAGGACAATAACTATAAAGATAACGATAAAGATATAGTTCTAAAAATCGTTCTCAATATTAAAAGAATAGCAGAAGGCTGGCTGTGGTCCAATCTTAATTACTGCCCGTCCTGCTCTCATCTTGTTAGAGCGCTGAGGAGCCAGGTGTAGGAAGATGAACTGAGTTATGGGCCGTCTGGAATGCCGACCACAGCGAACAGATTTCGATGTGCTATCGGGCCATGAAGGGCATGGGCATCAGCACAAACGTTGCAGTATAACTATGTTTGGAAGTAATATCTCAACAGGAACTGCATGCAACTCATTTTTTGCTGTGCGATGCAGATGTGTAGTAAAAATGATTGATTTCTAATTTTGGCCAAAGGATGCGGTGTGCGCTGTACACATGTCCTGCTGGGTGACGGACTGTTTTGTGTAGTCAGCAGACCTGATCTAGCCCAGTGTCACTTTTAATATGTCCTGGGTCGACCGTTCATGCTCCACGGGGCATGTAGGTTGCTGTAGCATATTTCTGGATTGTGAAATGTCGAAAGCATCTGCGTGCGCTCATTTGAAGTTTCTTTGAAGTGCACTTATTCACACAAAGAGCCTCCTCTGTCTTTATTCTTTTATTTTTAGCTTATGGGAGTCTCAGTTCATCTCAGATTCTTTTAAAAAACATTTCAACATATCCTCTTCAGTACTGACCTTTCATAGTATCTACAGCTGTTGGTTCTTCACAACCTGCACAAACAGGGTTCATAATTATATTTGGTAAATGAATTGTGAAAATATAGCAGACCATGAAACTGTATTGTATTTTTTTTTTAATTGTTCATTACTGCTGTTCGGCACCAGTAATTTTTTTTTTTTTTTTTACAAATTTATACTTTCATTCAGCAAGAACACAATACATGTTTCATGTTTAAAATGTATTAATCTAAGAATCCTGAAAAAAATGCATTGTTTCACAAAAATATTAAGCAGCACAACTACTGACTTTATCAACATTGATAATGACAAGAAATGTGCACCAAATCAGCATATTATAATGATTTCTGAAGGATCATGTGACACTGAAGACTGAAGTAATGGCTACTCAAAATTCAGCTTTCCATCACAGGAATAAATTACATAAAATTAAGAATGCAGTAAAATTTCATATTATAATTTTTACTATATTTTTGTTCAAGTACTTAAAAGAATTTAAATCTTACCAACCCCAATTTTCTTATTCTTCTAATATGAAAACTTCATGTGATTTATGTTTGCAGAATCATACATGCAAAGACACATATGTCATTTAAAAGGTTTTACAGATGTTTTATTGAGTATACGATTCGCAAGTCTTAGATTTGAAACATGTTGCACTGTAGTTCCTAATGAAATCACAGAGCAGTTGGCAAGTAACTACATTATTTACTCGACAAAGCCAATTTTTACTCACATTAGGTGCTTGGCGAATATGTGTATACATAAAAGTCCCTGTGTGCACTGGATTATCAGTCTTACCTGAATAGCCATAAATCATTATATATTGCTGCCTTTCATTCTTTATCCCTCTCACCATACTTTGTTTATTTTCCTCAACAGAAAATCCCAGAGAGTCGTGCTTTGAGCCAGGCCTGGTGCGTAATGGTACTCGTGTTGGTACTGAGCTGAAGCTGGGGGCAACTGTCACCTATTACTGTGACAACGGCTATACGCTGGAGGGAGACGCCACTCTCACTTGCATCATGGGGGGAGACGGCAAGCCCAGCTGGAACAAACCCAAACCTGTTTGCATAGGTAAAACATAACAGTTCAGCAAATACTCAAGCTTTCGTTCTGTAACCATATGTGTTCTTACTTTGTCAAAGACCTGGTGTTTGTCACATCTGCTGCCGTTCCCTTGGAAATAAGCAAAGGCTCATCTTTGCAATGGAACCTTGAGGAATACTTTGAACAAACTTCGGCAAACACTGGGGACATCTAGTAGGGCAGTTCAGGAATCAGACAAGAAAAGTAATTTAAGATCAGCAGAATGAGGGAACGGCAGAGAGGAGATGCGGAGGACAGAAAATTAGTCTCTAATGCCTTCTTTCTGTGGCTGTCTCTCTTGCTCAGCTCTGTGTGGTGGTCAGTATTCGGGGTTGGAGGGGGTGGTGCTCTCCCCTGGTTATCCTGGAAACTACAGCAGCGGGAGGACTTGCCTCTACTCAGTCATTGTGCCGAAAGACTACGGTAAGTAAACATAGTATTGCGCACGCATACTTCCATTGCATTACAACCAAGAAGGTCTACAGTGTACGTGAAAGCTAATTCCCATTCGTTTCAGTGTTTTTTGCAGAAAAATGACAACAATGTTTGGCAAATGACATTACAAGAAATTGACATAGTTCCAAACCTTTCACTAGCAAAAATTCTGAGATGTTAATGACAGGAAGAAATATAAGTTTGTTAATGTGTTTAGAGGCCTTCAAACACATCAGGCATTGGTAAAATTATCTAATATAATTTAAAAAATGCAGCATTTAAGTCCCTTACAAAATTATCAGAATGCACAGCTACATTCAAATGGTTGTTAATGGAAAAAGATGCTTTGTAGTTATATCATGTGCAAGGGCTAATAACATCATGCTAACCAATGAGCTCAGCAAATCCAATACACCATGTTTGAATCAGACATCCAAGGGTTAAATCACAGCTCTTCCATGTTACATTTGTGTCCTTATCAGCCAGAAACACCAACTTTTGGTCAATATTTGGTCTGTTTCTTGGATTCTGATTTAATTGCATTATACTGGATAGCCCCAACAGTCCCAGAGCAATCTCATTGGTCCAGATTCCAATCAAAATGTGTTCTGGTTGGCTTTGATTTGCCAGTCAGAACTTGTCGTGTCATGATTAGTTAGAATGAGTTGTTACAGTGAACTTAAAAACCAATAGAACATATGTAGCTGCCTATATGCATACCAAGATGGTTCACTCATATTTTGCACATGCATGTTGGCTTGACCAACCTGAAATTTTCACTTTTTAAATAATATTTGGGCATAATAAACTAAATTTATGTCTTAATCTATTGCTGGTTTAAATGTTATTTAAATGTGAGTTCAACAAGCAGTTTTTGTCATTTTAATATTTCCCCATTTGAGTAGTTAGGAGTTGGACTTGCATGCCCAAAATAGCTGCCCGGAGGCACTGCAAATTGGCCGCCGAGTGAACTGACTATCCTTGAAAGGGACTTTGACCCGTATTGCCCTTCTTTCAGGGGTGTAGAGCCTCTAGCTTTGACAACTTCTGAATATCCCCTAATATTACCCCAGAAGCTTCCACTTGACCCTTTTATTTGATCCATAAAACATAGAGGTCATTTGGCCAATTTGGGGTTCCTACAAAGTGTGAATTAGCAGATGTGTGAGCCTGTCTGTATTTCTCTGGGTCAAGCCAAACGTTGTGGAAGCAAAGCTAATTAAGGCACACATTTCCGTAGGCATGGCATAATGGCTTCAAACAGCTGCGGGATAGGGAGCTTCTCATCGCGGGCTTTCTTTTTTATGGCTCTCGTTTGGAAATTTACTCTACTAAGCACCAGGTGTGTATAGAAAGGACAACAGGTGGTTCACAGGTGTGATTAGGTTCTGTCTTTTACTATTGAATTAACATTTGCACAGTCATGGTTTCAGTTGCATATTTCATAGGATTTATGTAATTATGTCTCTTCACTTTTTCTCTTTATCTCTCTGCAGTGGTGTTCAGCCAATTTGCATTCTTCCAGACTGCACTAAATGATGTTGTGGAGGTGTATGATGGGCCTACCCAGCATGCCCGTGTCCTGAGTTCTCTCTCTGGGGCCCACACAGGTCAGCAAACCTTTCTCGAATGGTATTAACTTGACTCTATCGTTCTATACTGGCATTAGGAGATGAATGCTAAAGAGGTAAATAGAAGTCAATTAAGCAACTCGATTAGCAAGATGAGTTGCACCTTTAAATAAAAGAGACACAAGCCTGTGCGGTTCACTGATACTAACATTTAAAGCTAAACTGTGCCATGTTTTGCATCACCAAATGGAATTATAAGAATAATAATTTCTGTATGTATAAAGTCCTGCATAAAATGAGTAGCACCACTTTTGGCTGAGGCAGTGTTGCTGCGTCATTTCACTTTTTCATTGTTTTTCCATGTAAACGTGATGCACGGATATGTTTGACCGCTGCTTTTGCGTCTTGTGGCTTTGCAGTGTCTTGAGCTTGACATGAGGTTTAAAAATGCAGTTAAAAGTTCAACTTAAAAAAAAAAAATCTATAAACCATTTCCCCCATTCCATTGGAATTTCAGTGGTGTTTCAATACAACAAAAAATGTGTTCTGTGTGAAAGGCCCCTTACAGTGCTCTCTGCTAGCAATGGACTAGTTGAGGTTGACTAGTTTAACTTAATCTTTTTTCATATTTTCTTTGGCCTCTTTGTTGTGCTGTTTTTATAGTGTCCCACCACAAGCATTGCTTATTTAAGACTGTGTAAAGTTCAAAATAGCCCAACCTTAAAAACCTGCATTTTATTCACTACATTGTGTTGTGCTCTGTATAGCTATTTTTAAATGCAAGAACATGTGTTGCAGTTTGTACTGCATATGTCCCCTAAGAAACAAATCGGAATAAGCTTAGTCAAAGACTTAAAGGGATAAAACAACAAAAAATGTAAATTATGTCATCATTTTCATCAAACTCATGTTGTTCCAAACTAGTTAGTGTTTTTCCCCCCCTCCCCTCTCTCTCTCTATACAGTGAAAGTCAGTGGGGTTCAAAACAACCTTGGACCGCAATGACTTTCATTGTATGGACCAAAAAATACACAGACATCTTATATAGACAGAATATCTTCTTTTGTATTTCACAGAAGAAAGAAGTAACAGGTTCAGAGTAACATAAGGGTTTGTAAATGAGGACAGAACTATTCTATTAAGGTTGATTCATTCGTAGACAAGTTCAGACAACCCACTTTTTTATGATATTTTATGATATTATGATATTTTAAATTAAATTATGTAGTTTTGTACATACCTAATCTCTGAATATTAAGCTCTGAATTAAAAAGACACATTTCAGCTTTAAATTGTTAAAGTTGACTCAGTACTTGTGTACAGTCTCTAGAGTTCTTAATTATCAGAACATACAATGACGTACGTGAGAGATAATGATGTACTCCAGAGAATAAAACGCAGAGTTTCACATAACAAGCTTGATGACTCATACAGTCTAACAAACAGATTTCAATGGGATCCAGTAAATAGGGCTCTCTTCCTTAAAACAGAAAAGAAAACAGAATCAAATAAGCAAAAACAGACAAAAATAGATCTCCAGTGAGACGGCGAGGCTGAAAGCTTTTATTCAGTCATAATGGAGTTCCGTTTAATGTGGTCAGTTGAGGAGATTTCGGCTCAAAGATCAACAGGGTTTTCTCGCTCGCTCTCGGCTTCTGACATTCCCATGACAACACAGATGAGCTGTGTACATTTCTATTTTTTCTTTACCCTTCACACCAGTCAAACACTGGTGATTAGCATATGGCGTGAAACCCCGCGCTTAAGGAAGGTGAACCGCTCAGAGCGTATATACTATCTGAGATGCGCTTTTTAACTTCAGATGCCGGTGTGAAATCAGTGAAGTGTGCTGGGGGCTGCTGGAAATAATGCACATTTTGGAGCGTGAATAGAGAGCAGGGACTAGTCAAGATTGATACTGGGCCGCATAAAACTGCAGATTTTCTATTATCTTTTTTGTGCTGCGGAGAGAAGAGAAACAAGTGTTGCTGTATGTGACGTGTTAAAAGCACAGTTGTCAGTTTTGATGGATGTTTCTCAACTTTCTCAGAAAATCATGCATGGGGAATGAATAATCTGCACAAGCGAACATCAAGTTTCAAGTGAAGCCGTCCTCTGTGAATTAACAGTTGGTAACTTATTTTAAACAACAGAAAAGGATTCTGTTCTGTTATAGACAGAAAAAGGCCTCATATGAAAGCAGTGTGTATTTATTTTGCTGAGCATTTTAACAAGTTACCATGGAAGTCTATTTTATCTCATAGTTATATTTTATTTATTATTTTTGTTATTGAAGCGAAAACAGGTGATTTAAGCAGTTCATGGCAACACTTTGAGGTTTGGGTTCCATTCTGTGTAGATTAAATACCATTCGATTGCAAATGTGTTCCTCATGTAAATCAAGTTTGTAGCAGTGGCGGCTCGTCGGTGGAGGCAGGGGAGGCACAGCTTCCCCATAATTTTGAGGTGAAAATGGAAGGAGGACGATTTAATGTTAATAAAATTCACAATTCATTTCAGTTCATGTCTCAGAATGTGTATTTTTGTTTGTAATATCACAGTTGTAATACCATAACGTGAAAGCGCCGCTTTTCTATCGCGAATGTGCCGAATCTGCTGATGTAATTACAACCGCTAGGATCTTGCTGTATGTATGTCGTTTTCCTTACGTTTTCTGACTAAAAGCAACCAAAAAGCCATTTTAAAGTGGTTAAGCAAATAATAATAATAATAATCGGCAGGGATCCCAGACCAATACAATTAGTGTGCCGCCTCTATTTTAAAACCCACGAGCCGCCACTGGTTTGTAGTATAGTTTTAATAGTCAACTCTCAATAATCATTTTATAATTTATGGCTACAGTATAATTACAAGAAGTCCTAAATATTTCACTGAGCAATATATACTACTGTTCAAACATTTGTGGTCAGTAAGATTTATGCTTATGCTCAGATATTATTTGATTGTAAAAACAGTAATATTGTGAAATGTTATTACAATTTTAAATAACGGTTTTCTATTTAATATATTGTAAAATGTGATTTATTCCTGTGATTGCAAAGTTAAATTTTACTCCAGTCTTCAGTGTCACACAATCCTTTAGAAATCATTCTAATATGCTGATTTGTTGATCAAGAAACATGTCTTCTTCGTCGTCTTCGTTGTCGTCGTCTTCTTCATTATTTTCTTTATGCTTTTTTTTTTGTTTGGAAACCTTTTTTTTCAGGATTCTTTGTTGAATAGATCATTCAAAACAACAACATTTGTTTGAAATAAAAATATTGTGTAACATTATAAATGTTTTTACTGTTACCTTTTATCAATTTAATCTATTCTTGCTATATACAAATATTGTATATATTATTGTTAAAGGGGGCATAACACACACAGTTTCACCCAATCTCATGTTAATCTTGAGTACCTATAGAGTAGTACTGCATCCTTCATATCTCCAAAAAGTCTTTAGTTTTATCATATTTATAAAAGAAAGATACAGCTTTACGATTCTCTCCGGAAAAAAGCCAAGCTTCTGGAGGCGTGCCATGGCCGGAGCTAAAGAGTGACAAGCACTTGGGCGCCGAATGCCAACAAAACAGACATTTGATGCCGTTTCACTTACCGTCTGCAGTTCTGACTCATGACCGGGATCCTTTATAGCTGGGACCACTCCATCTTTCAGTATCAAACGATGTGCAAATCCAGCGTCGAACTGGGCCTTGTTTATTAAACGTTCGTCAACAAACACACTTGTGAAACTCTGTCGCTGCCCCGGAAAAACAAACTGTATCCACTGTTTACATAATGCTGGGTTCTTTAGGAAGCTGAACAAAGTTATCTTTCCCTTACAACCAAAAACACACTTCTTTGGATTGGAGACATTCTTCCCGAGCAAGTCCCGTGCAGCGCAGCCGCCGAATGAAGCGCATTGATGGGCGCGATCTCGCTCTCGCTCTGGTCGATGCGTGCGCGGCCGCGCTCTTCCGGGAGAAATGCCCATATAAGGAGTTCCACCCTCGTCTACGTCATGAAGAGCCATGATAGAAAATAACTCTCCGAAACTTGTACGAACCCGGAAGTAAGATTTTTTGCACAGAAATACTCCGTCATACGTCCAAATTGTTTTTTTAAACTTTGTCCATGCTTAGCATGAGAATCCAACTCTTTAACAGTGTAAACAACTCTGAATGTATGAGACAGCATTGTACCCCCCCTTTAAAAAAAAATCTTACTGACCCCAAACTTTCAAATGATAATGTAACCGAATGAGGAACAAAACAGAGTATTATAAACACTATAAACATTTGGGAACATAGGGCTTAACTAAATTTGTGAATGCATTTTTGCTTCCCATCACTCAACAGCTAATCCTTCGGTTTCTGTGGGGACTCAGAACTAAACGAGAAAAATGCTAGGCCTAAGTCAAAAATAAAACACAAATTAGCCTACCGGTATTAATTAATTAATAAGCACTATAAGCATTTAGGGTCTAACTGCATTTGTGAGAGATTTTTCATTTCTCAGCAAATCCCTCGAAGTCTTCCTCCTCCATATCGCTGTTAAAGAACTCTGCCAACTCCAGAGGTAGACAAACTGGCATGTCCACCTCTGTCGAGTCATCAGATTGGACACAGTCTTCTGGAATCCTGACAGGATGCTGTCAGGCCACGTCAATCCACTCCACAACATCCTTGAATGTTGCATGACGCATCCTCCCGGAGGTGAAGCCGTGGTCACCATCCAGGTTTCCCACCGCTGACATTGTGGTGTGATGGACACCGTTTACGAGCAGCACTGCAGAATAATGTGGCCATCGGAACAAACAGCAGGTGTGTCAGGGTTTCCCCACACCTCTACCTCGACCGGATTATTACTGTAGCTGTCACTCTGCCGGCCGCCATCGGAGGCTTGTTCTAATAACATCCCAGCATGTCAAAGGCATGAACAGGAGCGTTGGTCGATCCCAACATGAGCGAGAGTGTTGTGCGGTTTCATCTTCTTTGGCCACTGCACGAATTTGTCAACACCGAACCTGCTCTCTGCAAACCCCTGTGGAGCTCGACTGTGCCCCAGGGAACTGTGGGTAGATTCAAAGCCTCAGCCCCCACATTGCGCAACAGAAAGCACATACGCTAATAATGAGCGATGCTGAGAGGGATGCATTTTGAGATTTGGATTATTAATAGACCTGGGCTTGGGAACATGCAAGATGTGAAAGTAAAAGAATTTCAAACCGATGCCAATATTGGACAGACAAGAACTTGTTCTTTAAAAAAAAAAA